ACAATTCAGCATAAAAGTAGCATCTTACAGTTTGTACGGCAAAAATTTATATTGGCCAAAAGGATATTACCTCCATTTTTCAGAGGTATAGTCGATAAAAATCATTAGGTATCTCCTAAGTTTCAAAATCACTGTTTGTTTTCCCTTTACTTACTTCTTCTTTTTAAAGAGGAAATAATAGTAAGTGAAGGTACATTGGCGCCTGAACCACAATCAACTTTTCGTTAAAGGAAACTTGCGCATTTATCAGCATCGATTTATGCCCTATTGTGTTTTTATGTGCATTTACCTTATTCATTCTGAGTAGGCCTTTCTTTTTCTCATATAGGAAAAGACTAAATTTCCGTATTAATTTGTAAAAGTGAGCAGCCGTAGTATCTGTATTTTTCACTGTCATGGTATATGCCATATCCCAAATAAATGTATCCTGATCTTTCCCCATCATTTTGTTTAACAAATTTTGTTCTCTACCCTTCTTTTTTTCTTGTTTATTCTGATATGACCCGATTGTGTGTCCCCTCTATTACTTTTCCATCTCCTTAGCAAAGCTTCCTTGTCTAGCACATTAAGTCCACTCTAAAACACTTCATCTAAATTTTGTCAGTCGGTCTCTCCTTGCTTTGAAAATTTCTTTCTAACTATAATGCTTCGAAATAAGCTACCTTATCCACCACACTCGAGGAATTATTCACATGGTCGGATCTGTACATATAGTAGAGTATGTACGATAATCTTATTGAGGAAGGCTATACAAATCTAGATTTTCACACTTGCTGTTCTTTCCAATTTGCTGGCTTAATATTTACCACCCTCTCTCTTCTCCGAACTCAATTACTATCACTGGGTCACCTAGGTACGATCTATTGGCTATTTATTAGTTAATCGGTTTCTCCTTTGTAAAACCTAGATTTGAGCTATACCTCCTCAATTACCACAACGGGAGCTGGAGACAATTTAAGATTGATCGAAGATAGTCTGGATATTAGTTTAACCTCGTTTTTGCAACTTGCCCGTGCTGTCAGGAGAGCCTAGTTGGACAAACCCTGTCCAAAGTCTTCTGCCATAATTTCTATAATAAGTCTAAGCTTTGATCTGTGGTATTGGCACATTTACAGAAGTTTCGCCTGTATCTTCAGTGAGTGCTGTCAAAACTCATCCTTAAGCCCCCTATCCCTCTCGATTGGCTGATCCTATTTGGACTTCTTGTTTGAATCTGCCTCATAGGCTCGTAAATCCATATCTTATCTTTCCAGTTGCCTAAGGGGACTAAATTGGACCATAAGAAGTAGGTGAGTTTGAAGCAGGCCATCTTGCTTGCCTTTGTGTTTTGGGTGACTTATCGTTAAGCAAGGTGTCCTGCTCCGACGATGTCCTTTGCATGAAGGACGAAAGCTCAGCTAGGATTCATCGGGGTAGCAGAGCGGTGCGCCGAGAACCTATTCGCACAAGTCTACAATCACGGCTCCAAGGCAATCCTCCACAGCTTCCAGTGGAACCAACTTACGAAACCCTTCTACCCGCCTCTTCAAACGAAACGAAAGGTACTCCAACTCCAATCTATTAACGGACTCTTCGAAACCTATTTTTTATACATTTTGTCTCCCTAAGCAATGTCTCTATTTTAATCCGCATACACTGAGCGAACTTTGAACGTCTATCTCGGGTCGTCTGTTGACTCTGAGTGAATTTATTTTAAATTTGGCCAGAATACGAAATTTATAAGACGGTTGTGATTATCCGTATCTCTAGTCCTGTGCAGTCGCTTCTTCGAGCAAGCCGCACTTACAGAAAGCGTATTCTCTTGATATTCACAGGTTCCCTATCTGCTTCTTCTGTCCTGCCATCAAATTTTTACACCCTTATGCTTATTTGAAATAATCCTCTGGGGTATCCGTGGCCAATGAATAGCAGAGACAATTTGTTCAATTATATATCACATATTTCCAAGTCCGTTAATCCCAGGCTTCATATGATTATGCTTCTCATCATTCCGAGCCTTATTCTGCACTTGTGACTAGAACCGAGTGAAATCAGTCAGCTAGAAAAATAATAAACGGATCTACAGGACTATGAGAGAATAAAGGGAAACGGCGGGTGTGATGACGCCCTATGAAACTCGCCAACAAAAACACATCTCTAGAGGATTCGAATATAAACAAGTTACGAGTTTTAATAGGGCGGGAGTGAAGTAATAGGGTAGTGAGTAGGTAGATTTGCCAGAATAGAAAAATGAGTGGTAGCACAACATTTCGACAGATATTGGGTCAAAGAATCGACATCGCTTGTATCTTATGCTAGTCGTAGCTTGGTGCTGAGAATGGAAAAACAGATTGATGGTGCCGGGAAAACATCTATAAATCTACAAATTCCATGGTAAAATGCAGGAACATATGAAGGGAAAAAAGGTGTGGACTTGTGTGGTCGCAGTCTCCTTTCGTTGTATAGAAGTTGTTTGACTTTGTTTTTGCTACTTTCTCAGATTGGTAGGAAGACTTAGAAGAGCGCACTTAGTCCGGATTCCATTGTATACATGATAATTTCCACAGTCCGACCGTGGACGTGATACGTTCGCAGATGTTTCGATGGCATCGTCAGTGAGTCTTGCCATTCTTAGCACCATACAGCAGCACACCAAAGAGGCAAGTAAAGCCGATCATTTGACCGAATGTGTGCTAAACAGTCGTGGTTTCTCCCCTTCTTTCAAGGGCTATTCACCTATCCTATATCCTCCTATCACGCCATCACTATCACAATTTTTTCCATGCTTATTTTAATCTAGTGTGGTGTGTCCTTTTGAGCGGCTTTCATGAGAACCCTCCACACTCCACGCTGGCGTTCTCGCCCCCCTTCACCCTTGTACTGGGAATGTTGATCAAAGTCTACCATATTGTTGCACAGTCCTTCTTCCCTAGATCTTATCAGAGTCTCCCGCTTGCCACGTAGGATCCGTCTGCTATCTCCCTGGTTTATGTATTTCACTCGACCCCTGCGACCCCATCCGTGCTACTCGAGGCGTTATTACCTCTCCCCTGCGTCTGGGTGACTAATTCGAGGCTAAAGCCTCTGACTAAGTCGTATTGTCAAACCTTTGCTACTTGGACTAGGTCTATAGTAAAACAGGCCTACTGTAAGTGAATATGAATTCTTAAAAGTATCAGAGAGTCTTGTGTTTACTTTCTTGAGCTCAAAGCAAGTGAATTTGTTGTTGACTCTTACTCTTGGCGGATTTATTTCCTTGTGTATCTTTGGGAGTCCAACGAATGTCAGGGGTCTTGCGTCATTGATGATTAGAGATTTCATTATCCATCTGTCATTTTCTCAATTATTATGCATTTCCTTTACCATATTATTCAGTGTCCCATTGATCTTTATTGTTGGATCCTTCCTTAATATTTGATAAGTGTTCTGGTCCCCTTGGATACTTTCTATTTCCTCCGTGTATTGTTTGCTATTTTTTACAACCATCGCTCCTCCCTTATCCGCCGGAAGAACTATTTTATCATTCTTTTGTAATTTTTTCCGTATACCAGCCAATCTGCTCCTGTCTATCGGTTCTTGATGTGTCAGTATTTGTGGGATTATTTCCAGTTCCATCTCCCGCCTTGCCGCTTCTGGAGATTTATCAGTCGTGTTGACAACTTCCACCAGAATATCACTAAGAACATTTGCTTCACTACCTAGGGAAAAATGTGACCCCTACTTTAAGATATCCATAGTTTCAGAATCAAGACGAATTGAAGGTAGGTTTACTACCTTAGTCATATTGGCGCCTGTAGCAGTTGATGCCTTCAATACGGAACCATCAAAATTTGCCCGGGCTGGATTGGTCTTGCTTTGTCTTATTATCTCATAGCTAAGCAATTTCTTGTCATGCCGCCTAATTATCAGATCCTGGACCCTCTGTGACTTCTGGTCGGTCATGCTCTGGAGTTTTTGGAAAATCATCCAAAGTAAGAACCCTAACTTGAAACTTCCTTAATCTATACTTGATATATATGAGCTTAAATAGCTTACGCTTCTCAGTCTCGTAACTTTGCTCTAATTTCTGGATAGAGGCGTGATAAAGTATTTCATTAACTGTGCCCGAATAAAACTTCCTCATTAGATTGCAAAATCTGGGAGCGATACAAAAATGTTTGCGACAATTCGTAAAAGTCAAATAGCAGGATTGACTTAAAATTGTCCTCTTCGTCCAGCTGTAATAGGTGAATTGTTTGGCAATCTTACTTCCATAGTTTAATCGAAGATACGAAGACCAAGATGGTGTGGCATTTTGTGTGGTCGCAGTATCCATTCGTTGTATAGAAGTTGTTTGACCTTGTTTTCCCAACTTGGTCATATTGGTAGGAAGACTTAGAGAACGCATCTAGTCCGGAGTCCATTGTATGCATGATAATTTCTAGTCGGACCGTGGACGTGATACATTCCCAGGCGCTTCGCCTGCGTCGTCAGTGGGTATTGCCACTCTTAGCACCATACAATTACTCGTCAAAGAGACAAGACAATCCGATCCTTTGATGAAATGTGTGCTAAACAGTTGTGGTATCTCTCCTTCTCTCATAGTATATTCACCTATCTTATATCTTCCTACCACGCCTTAACTGTCACAATTTTTCCCTTGCTTATTTAAATGTTGTGTGTTGTGCTCTTTTTAGCGGCTTTCATGAGAATTCTTCACACTCCACGCTAGGTTTCTTACCCCTAATACCGAGTCTATGACTTGCTATGCCCTAGTCACTTGAGTGCCAACCCACAAATGTTGTGGTACTGCTCGCTTTGATAAGGTTCAATGTTGAACCACGATTGGGATAGAAACAGGATAGACGTGGCGGCGACTAGAACTAGTTGGCTGACAGAAGGCCTGTTTTACCAGGGACGTTGTCCATGTGGCAAAGACCTGACCATGAGACTTATTCAGAGGCTTTAGTCTCGAATTAGCCATCCGACGCAAGGGAGGGTTAATAACGCCTCGAGTAGCACAGATGGGGTGGCAGGGGTCGAGTGATATATTTGAACCATGTAGATAGCAGACGGATCCTACGGAGCAAGAGGGAGACTCTGATAAGACCTAGGGACGAAGGACGGCGTAACAATATGGTAGACTCTGATCAACATTCTCAGCACATGGGTGAAGGGGGTGAGAATGCCAGCGTGGAATGCTGAGGGTTCTAATAAAATCCGCTCAAAAGGGCCCACCATACTAGATGTAGATGATAGTGAAGGCCTGATACAATGATATATGATAGGTCAATAGCCAATGACAGAAGGAGAGATAACACAACTGTTTAGCACACATTTTTTCAAAGAATCGGCTTCTTTTGACTTTTTGACTAGTATTGTATGGCGCTAATACTGAAAAGACTCACTGACGCTGCCGGCGTAATGTCTGGGAATGTGCCACGCCTACGATTCGACTCTGGAAATTATCATGCATACAGTTGACTCCGGACTAGTTGCGTTCCTCTAAGTCTTCCTATCATTATGACAAAGTTGCGAAAACAAGGTCAAACAACATCTAAAATGGTAGGAATTATCATAACTATTTTATCAGAGGACTTCGGACGAAGTGCATCTGATTTGGTCGCCCTGGTGACACGACAAAGTTGCGAGAACCAAATCGGATCATTTATACACTTCGAAGAGAGACTACGGCCAAAAAAGAGGCCACAGCTTGGTCTTCATATCTACGTTAAAACTCTATTTTGTTCGTATTCTCCTTTTGTTGGATAGAATTGCTCTTGCCTTGTTCTTTTTACCAACATGTTAATTTTATATCTAGAACTGTCGCAACAGGCATACTAGTTTTTAGCCTTCGACCGTGTGAACTTGGTCAGCTCTCAGACGTTTCGCTAGCAATGTTAGGTACTTAGCTAGCCTTAGCATAGAGAATCGACTTCTTAAGAGAAAATATGTGCTTATCCACGGTTTCGACCTCGCATGGAGCTCCCAGCGATAATCAAAACCGGATCATGGGAAATATTCCATACTTGTAAGCGATCTAGGTTAATCGAGTTTTTAGTTAATAAGTACACAGTTTCTAAAACGATTCTGTTGCAGAATCGGCGTTGTGGAATAGCAAATGCATGTACTCATATGCTTGATCTGGAGCAGTTACCAAAACTTTATTCGATCATCCAGCTTTCTTCTATTTTAAGTTTAAGTGTTTGTTGAAGGGATTCGAAGGTCGATTCCATTAGAAGACGACGGTGATTTCCTTTTGGCTAGTTGTCAATTGGTATTTTCTGGAACATTCTTGTTGATGCTGTTTCCAAGTGAAACGTGCTAAGTTTTCGTACGTCGTATTGTGGGTACCATCAGAGCATGCTATCATCCTTGCAAATATATTCAGGCTAACGAGTTGAGAAAATCCACCAGCCTATTCCTAAATGCCAGTGAGCCAAGTATAATATTTTTCATATGCAAGTAGAGTTTCGAGACTAAAAGTAAATTAGCAATATGAGCTGTATTCACCCTATTTCGTTTAAGGTAATAAAGGACTGATAGTAGAATTTTCCCACAATGATATGAGTAGAGCTAATATTTCCATTGAATTTCACATTGCCTTGCTTTCCCAAAAGTTGCACCCTAAATGAGAACAACTTTCGGGAAAGCAAGGCAATGTAAAATTCAATGGAAACATCAGCTCAACTTATATCATTATGGGCAAATTAGACTACTAGTCCTTCATCACCTTAAACGAAATAGAGTAAATACATCTCATATTAAGGATGATAACCTGCTCTGATGATGTCCATAATCTGAGGTACGAAAGCTTAGCACGTTTTCACCCGAATCCAAGGAGATTGCCTAGGAAATAGCATCAACAAGAGTGTTTTGGTATAGCCAATCAACAGCTGGTCAAAAGAATTCCACTGTCGTCTTCTGGTGGTATCGACCTTTGAAACTCTTCACCAAGCAACCTCGCTCGAAATGGAAATAAGCTCAACAATTATGGAACAATAGGTCTTCGAAGCCAAACTTTTCTTAGAATCCATAATAAAGTTATCAATCGATTTGGGATTTCCTATTATATGAAGGAGAGATTTTTCTTGGATGAAATGTAGGCTTTAGATAAGCTTAAGTGAAGCTAATGAATAAATAATCACAATTGACGGTCAGCCCAAAAGAGTGCATATACAGATATAAGGGAAAAGATTGGAACCAAAACATAAATGCAGCTTGGATGTACTGAAAGCGAGCTTCATGGAAGTGACATATCTTGCTCAATTCTATTTTCCGTCAGTTCCCGAGCCTAAATGTTATATACCTCGCTAGCATTTAACGAGAAAAAAATAAGTTTTTATTTCTTATTTACTCGTAAACAACCGAAATAGTTAAAATAATGCCTTATGTAAATTACGAATAAGCTTTAATAATCTTTCAAAAATAATGTTATGCAGCCATCATTTTTTACATAGGATCAGGAGAGTGAGTGCGAATGGATAAACTGAAAACCGACAATTGATGTCAGTAGTTCCCTTGGAAAACGGTTTCTTCGGCAGCATCCACAGTGGCAGGCCATCTTAAAAAAAGGCCAAATATAGATATACTGAATAATAATTCCTGGACTAAGGTGCATAAGCTATATACTGAAAAGTGGGAACAATATGGTAGTAACCTATAGAAACTCTATTTACATCACTATTAGTAATTGACTATCCCTTTACGAATAAACTATGATATTGCTAAGAAATTATTTTTCTTTATTTTATCATTATCTATAAGAGAACATTATACTAGTTTAGCAGTATAAAATCTTAAATTCTCTATAACTAAACTAAAAGTAAAGTCTCGAAACTCTATCCAGAATGGAAATAAACTAAAAGTCTTCTAGACACATAGTACTTAGATAAATAATGGTTATTTTGGAAGAATTATTAATATAGCCGATACCATCCCGAACTGGTTTGACCTCGTTTTTGCACTTTGTCGGAGCGACAGAG